ATTCTTGTTGGGGGCGATATGCTGACTCTGTAAACCGCTTAGAGAGGGCTGAAAGCCCTATGAAGCGGTATATAAGTCTAACTGCTATTGCTATTTGAGGACGTTTCACTTCTCATCCAAGAAGCTTCTTCAGCTCTGACAGGATAGTGGGGAATGGAACCCACTAGCCTGCCAGAGCTGAAGAAGCTTCGTGGGTGAGAAACGAAACGTCTTCAAAAGAAAAAACAAGGAAGTCCAGTTGCCTCCTGAAAAAAGCATCTTTGGGGACAACCATGACCTGGATGACTGGGAATCTCTACAGACATCTGCAAGAAAACGACTGATTTCAGAGAACCCCCCAAGGACTCCTCATTTTGGCTTTGAGCTACAAAATATTCTCCTTTATCGGTACAGAAAAGCATGTTTTCTGAGTCTAGAAATATGACCCTCCTTGGCTGAGGGACTTTTAGCATGCCTCTGCTGCCAAACCGAAAGAGAAGGTGATGATGGTCTCACTTGAAAGTCCAACATAGATTCATCAACTTGTACATCTCTGCTGGACAGCTGGACGGACAGTCCATACGGTTCCCTTCCTCAAGGAATTTAACGACTTCGGGTCCTTTCATTCTCTAGAAGGGGAAAGAGAAAGAGGTCGGTTAATGAAGCTGAGCATCTGTTTTGGCAAAACACTAGAGTCAGCCCAACTAAAGTAGACCAGACCATGAAATCAAGCGCACAGGAAAGCTAGAACTATTTTGATTGACACTGGCTATGATAAGAGTTTTGCAAGTCTGATTGTGCTATGCCTCCTTCTCCTTCTTATGCTCTTGTGAATTAGGGAGGTGTCGCCTTCAGTTGTTTACTAATGTGTTCTGGCTGTTGTAGACTTTTTAAAAAAATGCTTCGGCTCCTTTTTCCTAGGCAATATTTCCATCAAAGTCATCTTCCTTACTGCCGATACAACACCCCACCCCACCCCCACCCCCAAAGACAGGGGGCTCCTACTTTCTTGGCCTCCCAGAAGGCTATGAAAACCTGGGTCTTCCGCCGGGTGCTGGGCCCAGCACATGAGTATCTGATGTAAAATGTTTCGGTGAATTGGTTGTTTCTTAGAAAGGGTGCATTTCTTAATATGTTATATGGGTTTGATTGTTGTTAGCGGCCCAGGTTTATATTTTGTAAGATGGGCATCTCTTAAATAAGAAAACACACAAGCCCTTATGACCAATTCAACTTCCTACTTCCTAAGAGAACCTCAAAACTATTCTTAGAAAATTAACAGATTAACAGAGTTGGAAGGGACCTTATAAGTCATCTAGTTCAACCCCCCCCCCCCGCTCAAGCAGGAGACCCTATACCATTTCTGACAAATGGCAATCCAATCTCTTCTTGAATGTCTGAAGTGATGAAGCTCCCACAACTTCTGAAAGCAACTTCTGTTCCATTGGTTGATTGTTCTCACTGTCATAAAGTTCCTCCTTATTTCTAGATTGAATCCCTCCTTGGTCAGCTTCCATCCATTATTCCTTGTTTGGCCTTCGGGTGCTTTGGAAAATAGCTTGACCCCTTCCTCTCTGTGGCAGCCCCTCAAATATTGGAAAACTGCTATCATGTCTCCCCTGGTCCTTCTTTTCATTAAACTAGACATATCCAGTTCCTGCAAC